CCCCCACCCCCACCTGAATGCCCTCCAGCAGCCGCCCCGCCAGCCCCTCCCGCACCGCATGCGGCTTCACCACCGCCACCGCCGACCCCGCGTCGCATGCGCCGCAGCGCCCGACCGAAGCGCGGCCCGGACCAAAGAAGAACGCCAGCTCGCGCGCGGCCGCGGCCGGGGAGTCGGAGCCGTGGGCAGCGTTACGCGTGACGTCAGAGCCGAACGCCGCCCTGCGGGCGGTTGAGGGCAGGGGGTGCGCACTTGGCATCTGCTGACGGCACACGGGCCTCCAGTGCTGTCACTCAGTTGCAAGAAGAAAATACATGCAGGATTTAACATTGAACCATCACCAGCAGCAGCAGCTGCAGCAGCAGCAGCAGCAGCAGCAGCAGCAGCAGCAGCAGCAGCAGCAGCAGCAGCAGCAGCAGCAGCAGCAGCAGCAGCAGCAGCAGCAGCAGCATGTCGTGCCCAGCCGCTGCGGCCCACCCCGCCTGCCCGCCTGTCTGCCCGCCACACCGGATGCTGCCTGGTGCCTCTGCGCGCGCCCGCGCCGGGTCCGTGGGCCCCAGCAGCGCCCGCCAGGTGGCGATGGCGGCGGGGCCGACCAGCTCCATCGCCACCACGGGGCCGCCGGTGACGTAGGAGACCAGCTGCCCTCGCGCATGCGGTGGCGCGGCAGTGTTCCAAGTTAGCGAGTTTGTCATGAGGCGGCAGGCTTGACCACATCTCTGAGGCAGCGTTGTTGATAACTCATTCAGCTGCGTGCACATGCGCTTGGCCCCAACGCCCCCCACTGCCGCGTGCTTCCGCACCAGCCGACGCCCGCGGCCCCTGCATCCGGCGCGCGCCCCCGCCGCACCTTTTCGAAATAGGGCGCGTCAGCGTGTGCAGCATAGAACTCCTGGGCATCACCCCGCGAGAGCCGCGCCATGCGTACATTGGCGACCTGCGGCACGCGCACACACACGCGCGTGTGTGGCAGTGCAAGCGCGTGTTTGACGTTTTTGACCAGCAACCCGGACAACAAGCGAGAGCTTGCTGGGATGCCTGCAGCTGCCGCGTGGCGCTGCCCCGCCCGCCGCCCTTCACGCGCTTACGGGCGCGGCTGCCCACCTGCAGACCGCTGCCACCAACCGCCTGCAGTATCTTGCCGGTATGCCGCACCGCGTCGGGCTTTACCATGGCCAGCGTGCTGCGGCGCAGAGGGCGGCGAGGCGCAGGGGCGCAACTCGCGCAATTTTCTTCCTGGCAGTGCGACTCGGCGCCCTGACCTGCAGTATACTGCAGTATAACCCGCGCGGCCGCCTGCCTGTTCTATGGTCCCGTTGGCTCAAGACGCCGGCTGCGGCGCGCAGCGCGCCTCACCGCTCCGCGCGCGCCTCAACCGCCCGCCGCGTGGCGTCGTCCCCAAAGTCAGTCACGCGCAGCTGCCGCGCGTACACCGTCACGACCGCGCCCGGGAACAGCTGCTCCGCCGCCAGGCCGTCGTATTTGATGCGCTTCAAAAAGTGGCGGCGATTCTTGACGTCAAACTGCGTGCGCACGGCGGCGCGTGCACGCGCAGGCAGGTGTTGGGGGCGTGCATGCGTGGGGCCCAGCTGGTGTGGCGGCGGCGGTTGCACTTGGCGGTCAACTGTGTTGTGTGACCAGTGACTACACTACTGCGGCATGCGATGGCCTCACCATCTCCACCTCGCCCGTGTCTGGATAGTAGAATAGCTGGTAGCGCCACAGCACCCCTGCGCGCCCGCAGGCGTGATGACGCAGACTTGAGGCGATCGCTGCCCGGGCGTGGCCGGACAACAATTCGGGAGCACCTTGGATACCTTCAGCCTCACCTGAGTTAGGATCGAGCCAGTCCGCAATGAAAGCAAGGCGCGAGGCCATTTCTGCTAGGGTGCCGCTGACCGTGCTGATTGACCGGGCCACCAATCGGCGAGTCTGATGAGCAGCCTTAATTCTCGCGCAAAGAGTGTTTATTTGAGGGACTCCTGATGGGCGGCACCGTGATCTGCAAAATTAGTGCACCGCTGGGTGACGCTGCTGACGATTTTCTTTACGACCTGTCGAGCATGCAGCTCTTGTACCGTAGGAAGTTTGACAGGTTCTGCGCCTTGGCACTCTTGACGCCAGCATGGTCTCTCTGTGCTGGCGAGCCAAGTGCCATCAAGGAGAGCATTTTCATACAGCTGCACCATCCCTCGCCCACACCCAGTGGCTTTGCAAGAGTCTGCTGCACGCGTGCCCAGCTTTGTCTTTCAACCCACCACCTCAATCCCATCGCCCTGCCACGGCAAGAATTCATTTGATCATTTACAGCGTCGCGGGGCCGCGCGCCGCTGCTTAGTCCACGGTCTGCATGGCCTGCACCTCCTGCTCGGTGAACTTGCCCTTGTCGCCGCCGCGGCCGGCCGCCTTGCGCTCCAGCAGCGCGCGGCGGTCCTTGTCCAGCTTGAGCTTGGTGATGACCACCTTGCTGGGGTCGATGCCCACAGACACGGTGGCGCCTTGGGAGGGCGGGGAACGGTGGCGAAGGACCAAAGGCGGGTCAGCGCGTGATGCCGCGAGCGGCTGCGTCCGCACCGGGGCCTGCCGCTGACGTACCAACCCAGCCCCACATGCCTTCAGCTGGCCGCAGACCCAGCGCATCCAGCCCGAGCGTGACAAGTGTCGTGTATGTTGCACACCCCAGCCGTGCTCGGCAACTGCTGTCGTGCGCGCAGCCCCTCGCCCGCGGGTGCAGCGGCGCCTTCAAGCCGTCGCGCGCCGCGCGCAGGGCTGCGGCTCACCGTTGACCTTCTCCCGCGTGATGCGCTCGATGTGGATGACCCACTTCTTGCGGTACACAGTGGTCACCTTGCCCTCACGGCCCTACGGTTGGATCGACGCGGGAAGAGGTGGAGGCCGGCAGGCATCATGCATCAGGGTGCCGCGGGTCCCCCAGTGCTGGCGGAACGCACTGACATCGCGCTCGCGCCCAGCCGCAAGAACCCTGCCGTCGCCCAGGTGTAGCACCCTTGCCGCCCACTGCTCGTCCTGTGACTGCCGGCGATATGGTCGCCTGGGCTGCTGACCGCCTGGACACTAACTTTGCTGCCGTTTGAAAGCGCTGAAAGGGCAGAGACCAGTACGACATTTAGGCACCCGCCCAGCGCGCCGCCACTGTCGAGTGATGCTGCTGCACAGCTGCGGCAGGCCCGGCCTCAACACAGGGGCCGCTGGGCACCGCCGCCACCACGCCAGGCCGTCCAAGAACCACACACAACGCACCTTGAAGGTGCCGCGGACGACCTGCACCTCGTCGTCCTTGCGGATCGGCACGGCCTTGACCTGCGCACGCACACAAAAGGGCGCGCACACACATGGCAGCGACCGGTAAGTCCGGTTCCCGGTGTGGCTGCGTGCCGGGTTTCTTGCCTAAAACTACTCGTATGTAACTGCGTGCCTGCGCATGGCCACAAGCTTCCAAAGCTGCGCATTGCTATTGCTCCTGGGCGCTCCCGCCCGCTGCAGCGCCGCTGCCGTCGCTGCCGCCGCTGCTCACGTTGTACTTCTGCTTCAGCTCCGCGTTGAGCGGGGAGCTCATAAGCTTCCGCCGCACATTGGAAGGCGCGGAGAAGTGAGCCTGCAAGCGGGGCGAGGCGGCCAGTTTGATCGCTCAGTGTGCTCGGCGGCCATGCCTCTCTTTGCCCTGCGCCCACGAGCCTGGACAGTGGCGCCTATAACTCCTTAAAGCCTCAAGCACATGACCCAGGCCACCCAGGCGCCACACTGCACCTTGCGACTCTTCCTCCTCGAGCTGGAGACCGCCGAGGAAAACTTGGCCATTTTGGCCGGAATGACCTATCTGGTGAGGTGTCCGACCCGGGAAAAGGGCTGTGCATGCGCCGGGAGGCTGGTTTGGCGCGGCACAGCACAAGTGTCTGCGCAGCTTCAAGGGTTCTCTGACCTTTGTGAGTTGCCTATGCGCCTTACATATCAAAAAAACTTCCTTTTCTTGCTCTGCTTGAGCCTACTCGTGCGTCTGCGTGATCTGATCGCCTCGAGACTTGTTTGCGATCGCTGGTGTGACCTGCAGCGCGTCAACAACCTTCAAACCAGCTCACCACAATTTCATCCGAGTGATAGGCGCTCAGAGGCAGCACTCTTTTTGCGCACGCCCGACCGTTGCAGCAGAGCACGAGCAGTGATGGCGGGCCTGCGGGCAGGCCCTTCGGAGCGCATCGCCGGGCTTTCCTTCCTGTTGTTCACTCTGATGCAGGTGCCAAACCTGAACGCTGAGGCAGTGCTGGAACGCTGTGCCAAAACGGGAGCTCTCATTGCAACAGCTGCCACCCATGTGACAGCCACCGCCCCATTGTAACCGCCTGCCACAACCACGCGCTTTGCAGGTGCCATACTTTGCGATGCGGAACACCACCATAGCGGGTTGGTCAAGCATGGTGCTGCTGTCGCCGTTGCAGGTGCGGTGGCGTACGCACACTGCTCGTGCGCAGTACAGGCCAGCAGTGTCAAACGATGGAGGGTCGATGCAATAACACCTCATCATGGCTTCGCCCTGGGCCAGCAGCAGTATCAAGCAGTGGTAGCGACCGGCAATAGCAGCTGCCGCATTCCCAGACGACAGCACAGCAAGCAACAGCCGCAGAGGCCAGAAACCGCCCTCCATTTGCAGCCGCTCGCTGCTGTCAACGGCCCTCCACCCCCAAATCGCTTCCCGCCCGTGACAGATCACTGCGGCCACAATCGCGTCACGCTTCCCCGAGGCCGCCCCGGCCGCCGAGGCCGCCCTCCTCCCCGGCGCCTGGGCGCGCGAGGCTCTCACCCCGCTCGTCCGCTGCAAGTTCACCACCCAGGGCGGGCCCTGCGAGCGCGAGCGGCGCCTTCTCTTCGACTTTGACCGCGTCAAGCGCCGCGTGCAGCTGCCGTCGCTGGTCGCCCTCGTAGAGTCCAAGGATTTCGCCCCCGGCTCCGACGGGCTGACGGCTGGCGCGGCGCTGATCACGCTGTCCGCGGCGCTGTCTCTGGTGGTGACCGTCAAGTCCGCCGTTGCGGGGTTTGTGTTCATGGCGCTGGGCATAATCCAGGGGTCGCATGAGCCACTGGCGCCGGGCGTGCTGGTCGCCTTCCTGTGCGTCTACTCGGGCTTTGGCCTGGGCGAGGGTCGCGAGCGGCGGCAGGCCGCTAAGGACCGGGAGCGGCGCGAGCTGCGGCAGGCGGCGCGCGGGGGTGGCGGGGCGGTGGCGTCGGGCAGCTCCAAGGCAGACAAGGTGCGGGGGCTGGCGCGGGGCTTGGGGGCAGGCTGCTGCACTGCGTATCGCATGGGGCTTGGAGTAAGGCGCTTGCTGTAGTGTAGACGTCAGGCCGCCAGTTGGACATTGCACCATTGTTGCGAACAACCATTCCCTTGTCCCCATTGGTGCGCCTGCTTCCACGCCTGCGCCTCCACAGGTCACTCCTGCCAAGGGCAAGGCATCCAAGACTCGGAGAGCTTGAGAAGCACTTTGATGGCAGCGTCAACAGGTGGTTCAACTGTTATATATGGGATTTGGAAGGAACAGTCTGTAGCTGTTGTAGGCGTGCTGTTGTAGCTGTGTTGAGTGGCGCTGGACGCACTTGCCTTGTATTCAGTGGAGCCGCGGAGACATGTGTTAATGTGTGTATCATGTGATTGAAGGCATCAAAAGGGCCCTATGACGCAAGCTGTTGATGATTACAGACTGAGGGCAGCGCTGACGAAAGCAGGGCAGCGCAGACAGCAGCAGCAAATGGAGTGTTGCGCTGCCACCTGATGGCCGCAGCAGCACTCACTGCTGATACAACGGCGTCGATTAGGCGCGCTCCAAATTGGCACGCAGGAAGGCGTCTCGCACCCAATAGACCTGGAGCGGTGCTGACAGCGTTGAAGGGGCACAAAGGTGCAGATGCTGCGGCGCAATCACAGCGCCACCGCGCATGCCCGTCCATCCTCGGCAGGGCAGGCGCTGCTGCAGCCACTCAGCATCTAAGACAAAGCACGGGGTGGTGTGCAAGTGTGTGTACAGCGCACACCGCTTCCGCGTCTAGTGCGCCAGGATCCACGCCAGCCTGGGCGGCCTGCCACTGCTGCGGCGGCGCTGTCCAGGCTGGACACATGGCTGTTTTTTTATAGGTCGTCTAAAAACGCAAAGACAATGGGCCGCTCTCACAAGGATGCACCCAGACATCTTTGCTGATGCCGTCGAAGCGAGAGGAAAGCGTGTAGGCGACAGCGCCCCACGAGCAGCGGAAAAAGGGTACAAAAACAAAAGTCAAGGGGCTTGCGCAGCAGCAGTGGCGAGGATCACCTGCTGACGCGGCGCAGACGGAGGCACGTAAGCGCACGCCCGACAGGACACGCCAGGGCGGCGGCACAGGCGGGCCGCAGGGGCCGCCCCCTCCGCAGGCTCACGGGAACGAGGGAGGGCGACGGCCCCAAAGGAAGAGCCTGGGCAGCTGCCCGCTGCCACGCGACGCCGCTTGGCACCAGCGACCGCGGGCTCCACGGCGTCGCAGCGTGTGTGTTGGGCGCTAGCTGATGCACAGTTATCAAGCAGGCCGCACGGCCTAGGCCGAGTCGTCGTCGCCGTCGCCGCTCTCTGCCTCGGCGGCGCGCGCGTCGGCGGCCACGCGCTTAGCGGCGGCGATGGCCACGCGGGCGCGCGATGAGATGTAGTCCTGCGGGGTTGGGAGTGGGGCGCGAGAGCGTGAGCCGACACGCAACCCCTATGATTGCGCCGGACACATCCAGTGGGACAGGCCGCCAGCCAAGCCAGCCATACTAAGAATTGATTCATGGCGAAAAGAACCTGGCTCTCACCTGGATTCCTTCGCACGCCAGGGTGGCACACCATCCCCCCTCAAACAACCCATTGCTGGCAGCCCGCCTACCTGCACAAACTCCTCCAGCTTGGCGATGTCGATGTTGGGCATGACAACCACGTGCGCAATGTCCCCCTCGCACGCCAGCTGCCACTTGCGCACAAACGCCTCCTCCCGCGGCCGCTCAAACACCACCGTGTTGGACAGCTCGTTGAGCATGGTCTTCACGCCGGCCTGGTCGAGCATTGACTTGAGCGTGTGCGCGTTGCGCATGCAGCGCTCCACGTCGCGCGCGATGCCGGCGTAGCCCTTGCGGGTCAGGGTGTACCACAGGTACAGCGGCGCGTGGCCTGCGGGGGGTGGGGGTAGGGGGAGGGATGGAAAGGTGAGGGAGAGGCGCAAGGAGGCAGGGCGTTCGAGAAAATGTGGATGGCAGGGTTGGCATCAACAGCAACAGCAGCACTGTCCATGAAAGTGAAAGAACAGCGAAAAAACCGACAACGCCGACCGTGAGAGAGGCACGCAGACAAGTGATCAGCAGACACGTGCGCACACGGGCGGGCAATACATGCATCGCATGACAGGACCCAGCCCTTGCCTCTGCGTGGGGACGACCATAACCCACCGTTGCGTGAGCCCATGATGGTGGCGTCGCGGCTGTTGAGGTACTCCACGTCGGAAGACAGCGCCAGCACGTGGCGGAACCGCGTAATGACCACGCCGCTGGGGGGGATGGAGGGTAGAAGGGCGGACAGGCAGCGGGCGGCAGGGATGGTGATGATAAGGGGTTGCACGAGGGCAAACGGCCAGGGAAGGGCAATGCGACGGCCTGCGCAACCGGCCTGCTGCATCACAGGGTCTGCAAAGCGTCCTGACTTCAGGCGCGCCGCGGCTGCGTCTGCAGCGGCGGCAGCCGCGCCTCCTTCCCCGCCAGCGCTCACCATGGCACGGGCGCGCCAAGGAACTTGTGCCCGCTGACCGACACCGACCCGATCGGCTTGCGGAACGTCACCATGGGCGCCTGCTTCAGGAAGGGCATCATCATGCCAAAGAGCGCGCCGTCGCAGTGGATGTAGAAGCGGTCCTCTGTGTAGCCCGTGGCCTTGAGGATGTCGAGGACGCGGTCCAGATCATCCACGGCGCCCTTGACAGTGGTGCCGATGTTGACGTTGATGATGGCGGGGCGGCCGGCGTTGGCCTTGAGGGAGGCCTCCAGCTCGGCGTAATCGATCTCGCCAGTCTCCAGGGTTGACACCTGTCGAGGGGTGGTGGTGGTCATGGTGGGGCTCGTCATGGTTGGGGCGAGGGAAAGGGGGGTGAGGGAATCGAGTGGCTGCAAGGCCATGCATTAAACTGCTAGACGCGCAGCGTCTGCTGAGCCCAGCGCAGGCTGCCGGCCGGTAAATATATACCCTCAGAGCACGCTGTTCACGGCATGCAGCCTGCAGGCCTGCCAGCAGCCAACATGTTCTGCTGGGGTGCAGTTCGGGTTATGCGCCCCAGCGCCGCAAAACCCTAGCAGCACCCCCCTTTCGCGCCCCCCCCTGCCGCAAGTGCCGCCGCACCTTGACTGCGTCCATGCGGTACATGCGGGCCGCCTTGAAGATGCTGTAGTGCGTCTCGCGGCTGGCATACAGGATGCCGTCTGGCAGGTTCTCACGCCCCACCTGGCGCGAGGGGGTAGGTGAGTGGGCGGCGAGGAGGGATTTGAGGGCTGGCCCAGCGGGCGCTGCCTGCTGTGCGGCCTCAGCCGGTTAGCCCTGGCTATGGCCCACACGTCCCCAGTCCGCGTGGTAAACCACACCACACAAGTCCATGCTGCACGGGCTTGCACTCCTGCGTCCATCTGCAACGCATCCGCCCAGCACCCCTTGCAACCGCTCGCTCTCGCCGCCCCACAACCAACTGCCCCGAGCCGCAACAACTCTATCACCCCAAGCGGCGCCGCCCCAGGACGCCCTGCCGGCCCGCGCCCCGCACCAGTATGCCGTGCAGGTTGCCCTCCGTGCCGCAGTTGGTGATGTAGCCCCAGTACTCCTCCTCGTCAATCTCCCACAGCCGCGCAAACCAGTTGAGCACGCCCACCTGGGCAGCAAGAGCGGCGCGCCCGTCCGCAATTATCAACTGCGCTGCGCTTGCAGCGTGCGAGGCGAACAGGCAACGCCTGCTAGCAGAGCGGTTGATGCGGCTTAGCCGCGTCATGCAGCTGGCCTTAGTGTGTGCTGCAGGCGGCGGCGCACCTCAAACTCGCGCGAGTGGACGCCATAGTTGCTCTCGATGAAAGGGTCGCCCAGGTTGTTGATGGAGTACCGCGTCAGGCCCTCAAGCGCGCCAAAGTCAAAGTCGAGGTTGTACGGGTAGCTGGTGGGGGGCAGGGGCGATGGCGCCAGGTTGATGGATGAGTTGTGCGCACCTAACGTGCGTGGCAAGTTTGGGTGCTGGCAAGTTGCCCGGCTGCGCGAATTTGAAGCGAGCGGGCGACACAGCGCCTCCAGTGCTGCTCAGAAGCAGGCCGCCGCTTGCAGCTGGGGGCTGCTTGGAGTTGGGGCCCAGATGAAATGTTGAAGCTGGACCCTGGATGAAATCCTCACAATCCTGGCGGCGGCTGAAGGTGCAGCCACTCCCTGAATCACGCCCTGCCGGCCTGCCGACAGCCCCGACAGCGCCAGCAACAGGGCCAGCGCAACAGCAGAACAAGCACCACCGCGCGCTCACCCCATGTGGTGCTTGGTGCGCTCGGCAAGCTTCTTCTCGTACTTCTGGATGGTTTCGTTGATCGCTGCCATCCGTTCCTGCAAGAGCGGGGCGCTGGGTCAGACGTTGGCACAGGGCGGCCGAGCCATCACATGAGAACGACCATCCGGAGACCAACGGTCTCCAGGCCTCTCACCTCCTCGGGACGCTCCTCATCAGGGATGTGCAGACCCGCCGCATGGTGGTGCGTGATGGCGCCACAGACGGGAGTCGCCTGGTAGGGCGCCACCTGGAGAGTATCAGGGGCCTTCAGCCGCTCCGTGCGCAGCACCTTGAGCAAATCATCACTGATGTGCCTCTCCGCCACATCCCCTACAGCCTGAGGCAGCGGGCACGAGCTCGCCAGCTCGACCGCTTCGCCGAACGTCTGCATCTCGAAAGCGTTCGAGGGTTGAATCAAAGCTTTTGCATTACTATTCACAAGCAATTGAACCGAGATAATGCCGTGACCTTTGTGCAGCGTCCGTGCTTTGCGCCCGCCTGGTACCCGCCAGCTCACAGCGAAGCTGCTCAAGGAAGTGAAGCATGAACGGGCAGGTGGCGCTCAGTTGATCAGTCACAGGCGGCCGCTGTCCGCTCCGCATGGAATCTCTTGAGAAGGGAGCACTACTGGGTACACGTCCCCGCCCATCAGCTCAAAGAAGCGGCCGCCAAGTCTAGGCGCAAGATGACATCAGCTGCGACTCCAGCGCGCAGCAGCAGCACCACCCCGCTGCACAATCCTGGGATATTCTTGCGCAGGTGCTTTCCCACGGCCTATCCGCTGACCCCTGGCGCCCAGCAACCTCGTACTTTGCTCTCTGTGGGACGAGGGTTGGGGCCAGCCACGTCAAGCCTCCATGAGCAACTCCGCAGAGCCTACCAGCATCACGACCAGGCTTGCACAATTTGTCCTTGCGCGTGTGCTACTAAATGCAGCAAACTTTGGATTCTGGTATAGTTCGTAGATGGCGGGTGTCTGACAAGGGGTTGCGGGCCTGCACGGCGCGAGTCCATGGTGGGACTCCTGTGCCCAACCAGGCACCTGAGGAGGCTAAGTGAGGCAGCACGCATGTGCAGTGGCAAGCGTGGTTCGCATGCAGCACCAAATGCATTGATGAAGATGAAGCCGATCTTCGTATTCTCCAGGTACAACTTCCATGTGTCGTTTTCAGGACCCACCATTTTACTCCCTCGCCCTGACCAGCCTCCATCCTGTCATGAACATCCAACCACAGGGTAGCTCGTTGCTGCGCCTTGGAGCCGTTGATGGTTTGATGTAGCAAATGGTGCCTTGATTGCACGCATGTGGCTTGCAGTCAAGGTGCACGCATCTGGCTTGCAGTCAAGGTGGCCGCAAACAAGCAGCGCAAGTCTGCGTACCACGCCCTTGATCAGGAGAGTGGTAATGAATGAACGGCTGCGCCCATCTCGCCGCATTATGTGCTTCCACGCTCCGCATTGTAAGTATTTTCTATCAATGTAATTTCTATCAACGTTCATGTGCCCTTTTGGTTTAACACACACGTCCATTGGTTAAACAGACGTCCAGGGGCCCCCATGTAGGTCCGTGCTGCGCACGACCAGACGGCCGCCCAAGCTGTGTGAATGCATGTGGCAGGCAGTTCGTGGGCCGCTTGGCAAGGGGCACCGCGTTGTTTTTTCTAGCACGGTGACCTAAAATAAAAGTATACCTCATTACCTTGGAGTCGTAGTCGGCCGTCACCCTCTCACCAGGGATCAAAGGAGCAAGTGTGCGGCAAGCAGCGGAGTGCACAAAGCGAGTGGGGTATCCCTGCCCGTACCCGTTCCACCGGAACTGATATCACAAAATCACCTGAGCGCGACGGCGAGTCAATTACAGGTGAACATCCACATACCAAAGCTCCTGGAGGCGCACGTCAACCACTGCAAGGGTCCCAGCCGACGCTGTCACATGGCGTCACCGGCGGTAAAAGGGGCGTATGCCCCAGGAAAGATGGGCTTTCGTCCATTCGCGCGACGCACCTAATAAATTATTAGCATACACATGCTTTATATGGACCTTCGCGCTTCCAAGCTGCACTCTCACGATCTTGCTGTGCTCAATTGTCGCCATAGCCATCATTCTAGCTGAAGAATCTTGTAACACGGAGCTGATATTGTCAGACCTTGCTGAAAATCTTCTCGAGCTCCGCAGCCTCGGTGGGCGGCGGCGCGCGCTGCCGCCCGCAGCAAGAGCATTGCTGCTCGCCACACAGGGCAACTAGTATGGCTGCGCTCGGCCGCTTTGTGGCTTGCTGGGGCAACGGTCAGCACGGTCGCCTCGGCCACGCAACTCGTGACGCCAGTGAGGTGTTCCCAAGGATCGTGGCGGCCTTGGCTGGGGAGCGAGTAGCGGCGGTGGCCTGCGGAGGGGCGCACACTGCCGTTGTGACAGGTGGGTGAGGCAAGGCTGCCTGGTGAAAGCGTTGCGGGCTGCTAGCACCGTTGAGGGTGGTACAAATGCACAAGCAGCTGCGCTGGCCATTGAGGGTTTCACCTAGAATTTGCAGGCAGCTTGACACTGCCAAATTGCCCCTGGCCCTTGACACATCCTATTCACCCTTGCCAAAGCAGAGGACGGTGCCTTATGGACCTGGGGCTTCAACAAGCATGGCCAGCTGGGCCACAGCAGCGACCTCAAGCACTGCGGGGTGAGGCCGCGGCAGGCTGCCCGCACATGTCTGCGCACCCCCCTCCCTTCACGCGCATTGGAGTACACAACAGTGGCAGCAGCTGGGCAGGACTGGAGGGTGGAGGGCGGCTTGCTGACGCGTACCCACATGTTGCCAGCCCGCTGTAGCCCCTATCATTTTAGGGGCCCCACAAGCGCCTGCTGCGTGCCTGGGTTTGCCTTTGGCCGGCCCCACTGCTTGCGCCGGCTGCATGGGGGCCGCGGACAAGTCCCCCCAGCCGCCCCAAAACATCCCTCACCCTGTGCGTTCTGCCTGAAGGAGCCGACTGAGGTGATACTGCCGGATAGGATAGTTGATGTGTCAGCGGGGGAGGCGCACACGCTGGCCGTGTCGGGTGAGTGGACCAGGGTGGGCCCCTGGTGAACCGAATCAGAGAGACAGCCGAATGCAGCGGTCAACTTGATCTTGCAGCAGTAAACGGTGATGTGCGCAACTTTGTGTACGTGTGTCAAAGACTTGATTGTGCAGGTGTGGTTGTGTCCACATTGTGCACCAGCTAATGTGCCCACCCCTGTGTGCGATGCCCGCGCGAGCCATGGGTGCCGCTTGAGACGGTCCCCACCGCCCAACGCTGGCCCCCCTTGCGCCGCCGTGCAGCTTCTGGGGAGGTCTGGGCGGCAGGCTGCAACAGCAACGCCCAGCTGGGGCTAGGGGAGGCCTATGGCGCCCGCAACCCAGAGTTCCGGCTGGTTCGCGCCCTCAAAGGTGCGGCCGCGGGCGACCCTGACTCCCTGGGCCGGGGCGTCAGGCGGGGTATGTGCCCTTCAAAGAGGGCCTGCTCAGCAAAGCAATTGCTAAATTTGGGCTGAATTTCAAGGGCCGGAGGCTGGTGGGGTCAAGGGACAGCCCGCACCCTGAGCCCCTGTGCGAAACGTGTGATGCGAGGCCGAGGTGCAGCGCACAGCCCGCACATTGGCAACAGCCAAATGTCAGCGGCGCATGCAGAATTTCGGCGTCGCTCACCCCGGCCGTGCGGGCTCCATCCCATGTGGCTGCCTGCGCAGGGCGCACAGTGACGCGGGTGGCTGCTGGGCAAGAGCACTCGCTGGCGCTGGGGGCCGGCGGGGAGGTCTGGGCGTTTGGCCACGGCTCGTATGGGCAGCTCGGCCTGGGGCCAAGTGAGTATGCCGTCGTCTGCGTGCGTCTGAGGGTGACTGCGTGTTGGTATGCGTGTGCGCATGCGACTGTGTGTGAGTGTGTGCAGGAGTGTGCGAGAGTGTGCATTCACACGCTCGCACGCGTGTATGTGTGGGGGTATGAGTATGTTGTTGTCTCCCCCTGTGTAGTTGCGTTGTTGCAGCGCCTCTTCGCCTTGCAGAGCCGCGTCACCTCCTGCCATGTCTGCGAGCTCCTCAGGTCTCACCACCTCGCTGGCGTGCGCCGACCAGGCCTCGCTCCCCGGTCATGGCCCGGCACGTGCGCCCGCTCAGCCTCTCTGCCCCCGCTGCGCGCCGCGCGCGCAGCGATGACGCGCTGGGTGGCGCAGCCGCGCCGCGTGGAGGCGCTGGAGGGTGTGAGGGTGGCCTCTGTGGCTGCAGGCGCCTTCCACAGCGGCGCTGTTGATGCGGACGGCAACGCGTTCACGTGGGGCCGCGGGGACAGCAGCCAACTCGGCACCGGGCTCAGGACCCACGAGTGCAGCCCACAGAAGGTGCGCAGTCACAAGTCCGGGCGCGGCGCCCCTCGAGGCGCCGCAGTGCGAGGGGCGGCGAGCGCGTGCAAGTGCGTGTGCGGCCGCGTGAGGGAAGAGGCGCCGCCGGCCGCCGCGAGCAGAAAGCCGCCGCCCCTCGCTGTGCCACTGGGCTGCGACGTTGGGCGAAGGCTCACAAGCAGACATGCCCCTGCCTCGCGGCTCCTGCCCCCCACAGCCACTGTCACCCCCCTCATCCCCATTTTCTTGTCGACGCAGCTGCACGCCCTCAACTATGTCAAGCAGCTGGCCCTCGGATTCGACCAATCCATCGCCGTCGGCACCCACGGCCGCGCGTCATCCTGGGGCACCGACGACAGCGGCTCCCTGGGCCAGGGCTTCCTCTGGGCCCGCCCCGCC